TACGTAACATTTTTATTTATTTATATAACATAATTATAATATTTTTATTTATCTATATAACATAATTATAGTATATATAATTGTCATGTGATCAAAAAAATTTAAAAAAAATGTCAAATGAAATTATTTAATTATCCCATCATGTTTAACTGATGGAAAAATAAAAATTGTGTAATTTTTAGAATTAAAAAATCAAAAAAGTAAAAAAAATAATCTAAGGATCAAAAAAATGCAAACTTATAAAGTTGAGGGATCAAATTTAGCATTTAACTTTTTCTTTTTTTTTTTTCCAGCACGTGGAGGGTGACGTGGAGGGTATCATTAAGTCCACATCAGCTGTTCCCGTTAAGTTAACGTGCCATGTGAGCAAAAATTAACAGAAGGACCAAAAAGGGGCCGGATTTGTGAACAGTAAGGACCAAAAAAGGGATTTTTTCGGTACAGGGACTAAAAAGGGGCTTTTTCCTATAGTAGAGGGACCAAAAAGGGTATTTAACCAAATTAATTTTGCAGACCGGACATCAGTTCGAACCATCGCAGAATTGTTTTGACCATAAAAATATTCTCTGTGACAGCTTTTCCCATAATGATTGTGTCATCTGCGTATTGAAGTAAAGAAATAGCTAATCCCCTCCTACCAATCTCTATACCTCTCAACAAGTCCTCCGACACTGCTTTTTGGACCAATCCATTTAATCCCTCTCCAATCATCAAGAATAAAAATGGAGAAAGCGGATCACCTTGTCGTAGCCCTTTTCCAGCTTTGAACTCCTCTGTTGGGTTGCCATTAATTAGAACTGACATTCTAGTAGTCGACAAGCACTCCATGATCCAACCTCTCCACTTTATTCCAAACCCCAACCTGTCCATCATCCATTCCAAGAATGTCCAATCCACACAATCATATGCCTTTGCAAAATCAGCTTTAAATATAAATGCCGACTGTTTCCTTCTTTTAACTTCCTCCACCACCTCGTTCAACACCAAAACGCCATCAACTAATTGACGTCCTCCCAAGAAAGCTGATTGAGTTTCACTGATAATCCCCGGTAATACAGCTTTAAGTCTATTAGCCAACACCTTTGATAACAGCTTATATATACATCCGATCAAGCTAATGGGTCTATAATCCTTTAAATTCCCAGTGTTAAGCTTTTTAGGAATTAAAGTTAGAAAAGATGAGTTCAAACCACTAACCAATCTACCATTCCTATGAAACTCTTGAAAGAAGCTCATAAAATCCTCCTTTAAACTATTCCATGCAAACTTGAGAAAAGAAAAATTATACCCGTCTGGGCCCGGAGCTTTAGACCCTTCACAACTTCGCAATCCTTCTTCAATTTCCTCAATGGAGAAAGGTCGTTCAAGCCACTGTTTGTCCTCTGTAGAAATCTACTTGAAGCTAACCCCTTGAGGCTTTGGTCTATTCCACGTATCTCCTTGAAAAAGTTTGCTAAAATAGTTAACCACCTCCTTCTTAACTTGTATTGGTTCTTCCACCCACACACCATCACACCATAAACCTGTGATAAGATTTTGGGCCTTTCTCCCATTTGCTATTCTATGAAAGAATCGCGTGTTTGCATCTCCCTCACGAACCCAATTGCTTCTTGACTTCTGTCTCCACATCACTTCTCTCTTCCTCAAAATATCCCACATATTCTGAAATCCTTCTTGTCTATGAAGAATCTCAAATTCATCCAAATCAAAATCTTCATTTTTCAAATCAACATGCTCAACCTTTTTAACCGCCTGTTCGTATTGAGCTTCCATATCCCCAAACACATCACGGTTCCACCCCTTTAAAAACTCTTTCAGCTTCTTTAGTTTTTGTTTACACTTATACCCTGCAAATCCATCAACCTCCATTGTGCTCCACTTCTCCTCGATAACCTTCTTAAAATTCGGATGAAGTTGCCAAGCATCCAAAACTCGAAATGGCCTTGGTCCCCAATCCACTGTTCTTGTTTTCAACACGATTGCACAGTGATCAGAAATATTTCGTTTCAAGCCCTGTTGCACCCACTCTGCACTCATACTGTACATCTCTACATTCATCAAAACTCTATCCAGTCTGCTCATGGCTGTGCCATCTAATCTATACCATGTGAAACGATTAGCCATTTTAATATCTATTAATCTTGCTGATTGAATAAACACATCAAAATCCTTCATATCTGGGCTCTCCCCTGTTCTTCCCCTTCTTTCCTCAAGGCACCTAACAGCATTGAAATCTCCCGCAATCAGCCATCGTCCTCCCTCTTCTGTAATCATGATCCTTAACTCATCCCATAACTTTAACCGTTTCTGTCTATCATTTGGACCATAAACATTCACCAGATTATACTTCATCTTATGAATTCCCCACTCCCCTGATATTCTCAAATAACCATCTCCCGTGGAATCTCCTGTCTTAGTGAAATTCTCCTTATTCCAAAAACACAATAATCCTCCTGAAGCTCCTATCGATTCCTTCATTACCCAGCCAAATTCTCTCGAATCCCACATCATCCTACACAGATTGTCATCCACCTTTTCTAACTTAGTTTCTTGCAACCATAGAAAGTCTGGTTGTTCCATTCTCACCAATTTTCCTACTTCCCTCCTCTTCAACACATTGCCCAAACCCCTAACATTAAAGGACACTAACTTCATTAACTATATATGCCACCCACAACCACTCTACCTACTACCCTACCTATTAATCCCGCTTCCCCTTTTGTTCCCCTGCTTCCACCCTCTCTTCCAAATCAAACAATCGGGACTGCACTTCCTCTTCATTATCTTGGAATTGAATGCCTAATCTCTTTCCTACACTCATCATCTTCCTCACCTCATGCAAGGTCAACTCCTTTCGAATTATGTTGTTTCTAAATGCTATACATCCATCAGAAATAGAACAGTTACCAAGCATATTTACTTGGCTCGCTGCACCCAGAATCAGATCTGCTTTCCCTCTCTGATGCCGCTTTGTATTCGATTTTGCCCCTGCGTCTTTGATGTCCGAAGCTCCGTGCCCTTTTCTGGATAGCAGTCTTCTATCTGTCTTTGCCGTCTGCCCCCTGTTTCCTTAAACTCCATAACACGGTTTATAGATGAAACCCCCTCAAAAGTCACATTGGGCCCTTTCTTTCCAATTCTTGTCCTTTCTCCTTGACTATCAACCCATCCCTTGCCACTATTATCACCCAACCCAATTCCTTTTTCTCCCACCGGCCCACTGTCCTTATATGGCCCATTATCCTTGGATGGCCCACTAACCACATCTCTTTTGACCCCTTTTTTTACTTCTGTATCTTCACTTTCCGTTTCTACCAGTGTATTTTTCAAATTTGAATTTGCATTGCAGAGATTTTCCTTCATTAATTGCTCTTCATCAATGCTAACGTCTTCTTTGTCGCAAATATCAAGATTGATCCAATCCTGATCTTCCTCATTACTCTACTCCGATGAAAACTCCGAATCCGTTACTGACACACTCCGCCGGTCATCGTCCGACAACCACCAATCTGGGTCGGAGCGCCATTCTTCCTCAACCACTTGTATCTCATACCATTTTCCTTCTACTTTCAGATCAATCTGTTTAGAGATCTTATGCTCTGCAAGACATATGACTAAAATTCGCCCGTCACAAAGAATTGATTTTGATGAAGTATCCTCATGAATCTTCACCACCTCTCCCACTGATTCTCCTATCATCTTGAAACATCTATCGCTTCAGGCCTTCAAAGGGATACCATTAATGCGTAGCCATGCCATTCTGCTTCTATCCTGAACTTGCTTATCCCATGGTTGGATATCTTCAAACCACAAGGAAAATAATTCCTTATTATGGTTCATAAATTCAAGTAAATATCCCGGTTTATGTTCAGATAGTAACACCTTCCTTCCCCCTAATGGTGAGATCGTGATCAACCCGCCATCTACATCAATTCTCTGCTGCACATCTTTTACTACTGATAGTGATTTCACAACTGCCACTAAGCCCCCTTCAAGCCACTGGTTCTCTTCCTGCTCCGGTGTGAATTCCATTATTTCTTTTTGAGGTTCCACCATTCTATTCTCCACCATACCTTTTTTGCCAACTAGTATGTCACAGGATGCCACTTCCTCCTTCCTGTTTAGTTGTCTTGCTTGAAATGATTCTTTTTCCTTTTGGATGATGCCCATGTCTTCCCCTTCCAGCGATCCTGTACGATCCGGCAAGCCTTGGAAACTCTGATTCTTTCCCTTCACCACCTGAGCATATGACTGTCCTGGCTTAACCATCCTGTCTTCTCTATGTTGTTTTCTGTCTGCCATACCTTTATCCTTAACACTTGTGTTACTTCTTTCCTCTGCTATCTTCACTCGCAATTTGTATGAACCAAACCAGATATCATTAAGTCTCCTCACCATCTGATTATCGTTCTGCACCCCTAACATGCGTAGAAAGCCAAATCTCTTCCCCCACTTGTCACGCTTCTTTGGCACATACACATCTAGCACTTTTCCACATCTCTGAAAGCTGAACCATAACTCTTTCTCCTCACAATTTTCTGGAAAGTTGTAAAAGAAAAACGTCTTAGTCTGTCTTATAAGCATGTGATCTAATCCCGGAATCCACCGCCTGTTCCCCTGCCGCTATCTGGTGCCGCTGGCTTCCCTTGTCGCCACTCCTCTCGCTCTGATCCTCATACCTCTTTAAAACTCCTATAGGTTTTTAATGCTACTATGTTTACTAGTTTAGTCATTAAAATTTACTATTTTAAGTTTTTCACCTTTAATTCAAATTCAAAAATAATTTCTCAATGATTATATTATAGAATGTGTTAAATTAAAGGGTGTCTATATTATTGTTTCATTTTCAATTATAAATATTATAATTGTAATTTTTGGTTATATTTTTATTAATTTCTCAATAAATCCTAATAAAAGTTTTATGAACATGCTATACCTTTTTATGTTACTGTACTGTGCGTTATTATTTTTTTCATAATAATAATTAGATTTCTTATCTCCATTACTCTTTACCTTTCTATCTCTAAGTTTACTAAAATCTAAAATATGTTGTGATGTAATATAATATATGAATTAATTGAGATTTATTTTTAAAATACTAATATAACCCATACCATTCCTTTCCACTATATATCCTATCATTTTTTTCTACCATCAAATTTAATTTCATTCATTAGTTAGGTTACATTGTTATAATTTTTATTTTTTCTTTTGTTTAAAATGGAATATAACTTTTCTTTTTAACTGAGATTTATAATAATTGTAATTATGATTATGTTTTTCACTGATTTATCAAAAAAATCCTAATTAAAGCTTTCTAAACCTTTTATACCTATTGTGTTTTTGTGTTTTCATATTTTATTGCATTTTCATGAGAATGATTAGATTCTCACTTCCTCCACCATTTGGCTTTCTATCTAAAGACGTAATGTAACACACAATATGAGTTACCTGAGATTAATTTTTTAAAAAATACTAATAAACTCTAATTGTAACTCATATAATTCCTTTTCACTATCTCGTCAAGTTTTAATCCCTATTTAATGTAGTAAGTGGATTTTAATATAGATTATAAATATAGATAAATAGATAAATATAAAGATATAGATATTTATCAATTAGTGGTGAAATAATACAATAATTTATAACTATTTATCCAAAATGTAATGTCCAAAATGG